TTCAGAAATTTTGACGTAAAATTGCTTTAATGCAACAAATTGTTCTATTTTCAATGTCCATTACTTCAAAACATTGTTGAAATTAGCTGTGCAATATTTTTTTATGAATTTGTCTGGTTCTTTTTTACTTTAAAATTATAAATTATACATAAACTAAAATAATTTCATCAAAATTTAGATTACATATATGTATTTATAAAAAAATATTCTTATTAGTCTTTAGAAGAAATTTATTGGTTTCTTTTTTCTTTTCTTTTTAAATTTCAAATTTATATTTAAGCGATTGATAAGTTAGTAAAGAAAAGAACCATGCTAAGAAGGTAGAAGATTTTTAGTTTGTTATTATTATCTGTATGTAAACATTTATTATGATTTTTCTCCACAACTTTTATACAATATATTTGTATATATATATATGTATGTATGTGTGTGTGTGTGTGTGTGTATAATAGTCTTTTCTTACAAGTTCCAAAACAAGTGAATGAAGTTTTGTAATATATTTCTGAAAATAAATAAAATTTCATAAATTTCCGAAATTTCCGTTCTATAAAAAGTCTTTGATGAACTAAATTTTTCTTATATATAAATTAAAGAATAAATTATTTGTAAGATTAAGTAGTGTTAATGTTACTTTTAATATTAAAAATCAATTACACCGTTTTCTTATAACTGTCAGAGACATCAAAGTAAAAAGTTTCATTATTTAAAGAAATGTTTTTTATTCTTCATATTTCACTATAAAATCACGATTTTCAAAAGAAAAAATTGCACGAAAATCACAATTTGTACAATTTGTCATAAAAAATTGCATGAAAATCACAGTTTGTACAATTTGTCAATGTTCATTTTTATTTTTATTTTGTTTGTGTAATACAATTTTTTCACCACACACACACACACACACACACACATATATATATATATATATATATATATACATATACTGATGTGAAGTTTTTATTTTTTATTTTTTATGAAGGGGTGGAATTTTTATTCGTTTGATATCAGTTTAAATTGATGAATCTGTGTTTAATGCTAATTTTCTATCCTGGCCATGTTGCATGTATTTTTAGAATATACACATGCGTTTATAATTTTCTCAAAATAAATATACATAAGACACACATGTATCAATGTATTTATTTTTCCAATTGTATTTCTTTAAAATATAGTTTAAATTGTCAGACAGTATAACGGGACACTTATATAATATTTTTTAAAATCCAATGAAAGCATTCGTTTTTAGAAAATGATCATCAGTAAAACAAATTTACGATAAAACCATGTACTTAATATGATTGTACTAACTTGTGCACATTACTTTGTCAGGTTTTATTGGTTTTAGCTCAATTATAACAAATCTAACCGTTGCTCTAGAACAAAAAAAAATTATACGTTTTGCAATGTAATTTCAATAGAAATTAGCACATGTTCAATTGTTACTTGACCCATCTGTTAATCATACCAGAATTAGTGCTGACAGTAGATTAAGGTCTAATGATACATTGAGATATGAAATGATAATAACATAACTTCAATGAAACTGCTCACATGTGTGCATGTGTTTAACTGTTATTCACATGTGATTTATGCAAAATAATCTCATTTCCAAGTGATAAAAAACTAAACGCTCAATGAATATTCTCATCATCTTCTATGATTATGGTTTTTGAATGATTCAAAGCATGAATCGTAAAATTTGAGAAATTCTGTACACAATAGTTTCTTTTTTTGTTTGTTTTAAATACCTCTAGAATATATTAAAAAAAAACCCAAGAAAAAAATGGATATGAAAGTGTGTGTGTCATGTTACATTCCAAGCATAAAACAAACTGTAATGAGCTTTATTGACATTGATTCTAAAAGAGCTATTCTGGAAGCTCGGGACCAAATACTACAATCTCTTGGACTTGTAGAGGAAAGAGTTTTGTCAAGTCTTGGATTAGAGAGAAGAATACTTGTTTTCTGGAACACAAGTAAAAAAACACCCTCTCAACAATAACAATAATCATATACATTAACCCAGACTCAGTGAGCTCATACAATCCATACCAAATTTCATGTCGACATGTAGAAACATATTATAACACCATTATATCAAGCGTAAACTTATCTAATTTAGACTACGAACTTTCATCATGCAATATGTAGGTGTGATAGTTTTACACACACACGTTGACATAAAACATATAAAATGCTTGCAAATATAGTAAGACAGTGAACAAATTTCATTATATAATTCTCTATGTTTCAAATCTTTACATCAGCTGATAATTCATTCAGAAATTCGAAAAGAAAATGGAGTGAATGCTACAACAATGAAATATGGGATAAGTTGTTTTTGGTGATGAATTGCAAGGATCGTTAGTGCAGGTGTACATTGAAGTGCTGCATAGCCAAATTGATGAGCCTCATCCTCCGGCGCAGCATCGCCTTGAGCCTTGTCACACCCTTTTTATATTTATACCTAATTTTTTTATTTATTTATACTTAAATCTCATTTTAATATTTTTTGGAGTTGTAAGTTTGATCAATCAAGTGATTGTTTGTGGAAATTTTAGATCTGTAGAAATACCATCATTTTTTCATTTTTGTTTCTTAAATATTCTAAATAGTAAAGTAAAATTCATTGGATAAAAAGTTATGAGAATTAGTTTCTGGAAATTTGCAATATCCATTCAATATTTATTTGATTATTAAAATTATAGAATTATTAACTCCTTTTCGTGTAAAGGATGGAGAAATTGAAATTTATTATTTTTTTGTATTTAGATGTATTATTTAATTTTTTGAAAAAATACATTAAAATAAGATAGATTTGAAATTTTATACAACTTGATTAATATGTTATTACTATTGTTATTATTATTGTTTATTTTGAAAATGACTTATGAAGGTATATTATTAAATAATAAGTAGGCATGTTCTTGAAAATTTTCAAAAAAACTTCTTATTAGTATTCAAAGTCCTGAAAATTTATTAGCTCATATAAAAAAAATATTTATCTTGTGTTAGATTTTAATTTATTTTTTAAGTATAAACATTTTTAGAAAATTTTAAAATTAATTCAATACTTATATTAAAGAATTATTATTTTTATTTCTATTTTATTTTCTTTGAGATATAACAAGTATAATTTTTTTTATTCAAGTCTATATAAATGATATAAATCCAAGTGAAGTTTCTTTTTTAAAAAAATTATCATAATATTAAATATTTTTTATATTTTTTACATACATTAATAAGTTTTTGACAATAATTTTAAATCTAAAAATTTATATAAGATTCTATTATTATTAATTTTTTTTTCTATAGCTCGATAAGAAAACTTATTTGGGGTCTATTTTTAAAATATTTCTATTAAAAATCATAATTTTTTTATTCAATATTTAAAAAAAATACTATGAGTAAAATTATTCATAATTTTTTAAACACATTTATCATCTTCAATTGTAGTAGTTTAAGTAAAATATTTTATTTTTTATATAAAATTTAGTATCTAAGGTAGCTAGGGATTCCAATTATGATCAATTTTTTTTCTCGACATAACTACTAAGTTTTCTACCTATTTGTGACCTTCATATCTCTTTGCTCTCCTTGGCATGTACATTCTTATTTCATTTCATTGCAACCATTTGCTTCCTCTATGCCCTTAAAGTTTTTTCATAATACTTTTTTTTTTACATTTTTTTTATGTCAATACTTGCTATTCTTGCTTAAATTTGTTTTGTTAAAGTTCTTCATTGCTAGTAGTATACAATTGGAAGAAGTGCAATCAACTTTGACTAAATATGTATATGTATATATATATATATATATATATATTTACTAATTGAAATGTTGTAGTTGAAAAAACATTTACTTTTTACTATGTCTCTTCCAAATGTTGTTTCTAATACATGTAAGATTCTACTCTCATAATTAATTTAATTTAAGCAAAAGACACTTATAATTCATAAAGACATGAGCTAAATGTCTAGAAATAGATACAATAATAATTATTAGAAATATTTGTAGTTCATACTTATGCATATGGCTACATCATTTAATAAAAGATTAGTATATATATATTTTTTAATTATTCAATACGTAATTTTATTAAAAATGTATAGCATGTATAGTAGTATAAATATTTGTGTTTGTTTTAGTAACTTGTGATTTTTTAATTTTAATTTATTATTAGTAAGTCTTATGAATATATAGTAATAAATTTTAATACTTTTAGAAATTATAGTTTTCTATATAAGAAAATAACTTTATTAGTTGCATGATTTGTATGAAATGATTTTTGTTCCATCTATTGTGTGATATTTTCTAATCATTGCCACTTTTTTCTTTGTCTATTTTATCTCTTATTAAAGAATATTTTGAAGAATCATAAACTAAACTAGATGTGAGGTTTGGAATTGACTGATCTATGTGATAATCCTAATCTTTTACTTTTTTAGCTTGTACTACTTAATTAGCATCTAAACACTCTTCAACTAAGTCATAACTATATCATTATGCTTGTTACAATGTATATTCTTTAGTGATTCCAGGTCTTCATTTCTAAATAATATCTATTGTCTTGTGCAAATAACTCTTAAATTTTGCAAGTGGCTTTTACTTATATTCTTGAGTGCCTACATGTGAAAAATCTTTTGCAACAATCTAACCTTGGGATGTAAAAATCCAAACTTTTTATGGCACCCTACCACTCTTAATGGCACCTAAGGTTTGAGACCCAAAGACTCTCCCACTATTATACCCACACAAGTACAACAACTTCTTTGAGCCATTACAACGTGTTTCAGAAATGGTAGTTTGTTTTTATTTGCTACCTAGTCAAAATAACAAACAATTAAAAATGTTCAAGTCTTGTTTATCAGTTTAGGTGGTGGTCATGAAGGGACATCACTAGCATCTAATGTTCGTTCAGGTTGCGACATCACTTGTGGAAGAATGCCTCACGTCTGTATGAATGTCTGTATGGCAAATTGCTGTTGTGAGTCTATCTCAAGAAAGAAAGCAGAAAGAAGGTGTAGATCATGAAGACGAGGGAGCACTAGTATGCGAAAACATGAACTTGGGTGGCACTAGTAGTATTAGTCGTGGTGATGTGACTAGTAGTAGTGATGTGAAGGGAGTAGTGCCCGTCGGTGGGGACATCTGGTACCCGGGACGCCCTCAGCCCCGTGGAAATGGGCATTTTGTCCAGGATGTTGACGAGCCCCGAGTGGCGAGGAGAGGAGAGGAGGGGCGCCGTGGAATTCAGGTGTGGCGGTGCGGTGCAATGCTCATGCCCGGCATCTCTTCCAACGCAAAACCCTCTCTTTGCATCGGATCCAACACCAGGACGGCAGAGCTTGTCATCGCAACTGGATGGAGCACCCAGCTACTTGGTCCCACTTTTTCTCGCGTTTTTTGTCGTACATCATTTGAGTAAGAGTTTCTTCTCCTTCTTCACGTTTTCACCTAGGAGGGCAACAAGTTGTGATATTTAAGAAATCTCCACACGAGTAAAGGGTTCCAACAAGCGGCATAGGTTTTGTTCAAGTGGATTGGGCATTGTGTCCCGCCACACCGATTTTGGTGTTTAGGGTTTGGAGTAGAGAATTGGAGAGGAGTCTGCGCAGCTATGGAGCAAGCGTCGCGTAAGTACTCTGTCTTCGACGTGGAAGTTTTGAAGTGGGAGCTGGAGCGAATTGGTGTCAAGGCGCTACATGTCTTCACCATTTGGACGTGAGTATTGCTTTTCGCCTTGAGCCTTTGGACTAACTGGTTCAGTTTGAGTTTTCAGTTGACTCAAGTGTATTTTGGCGTGTTTCGGACAGTCTGCACCAGGCATTGGGTTCCCTACGACGTGATGGGGATGTGGGGAGGTGTCGCTTATTCTCAGAGGGTCACTTGCAGGGTTGCTCCATATTCTTGCATTTGACCTGCATTGTGTTGCCCATTCCTTGAGCAGGTGGACATGGATTTGGCACTTCCATTTACCTATCTATGCTGTAAACTACTTTGTATTCAGCCGAATTTGCATATTCCACAGTTTATTACTTTTTGTGTTTTCTGTGCCCGTTTTTAAGGTCAGGAGGAGGCCACACACGATATGTGTTGTAGGATGTATGTATCCGAGTTAGCAAAATTCCAAGGACACCAAATAAGTTTTCTTCGAAGTATTTCGAATCCAGGTTGATTATGAGGAATATATTGTGTTTGTTACCCGAGCCAAGTTTCTGAGGCTGATCCTGATGAATCTGCTGCAGACCTAATCGTTTATCATCTCTAAGTCTCTTTGCAGACGTGGTCTATTGTTTTGGCTTAATGGCAAATAGCTCACGCAGCGTTTGTGTGCAGAGGAAAAATTATAATGCCTCCAAAGCAGATCCCTCGTCTCGTGGTATTTATCTGTATAATTATTATTATTTTCATTAATCTAACAGGCACTACCCTGCCGTGGCAGGCATGTTTTAGCACATCCAGATACAGAAGCGCATGATGTGCCTGGACTGCCTTTTGCTGCTATCGATATGATAAAAGAGAAATTCAAGACATTGACGTCGCAAGTTAAAGATCAGGAAACATCTGCGGATGGCACGACAACAAAGCTTTTGATCCAGTTACAGGTACGCCTCTACATCAAGTTATGCTCTCCATCAAGACGAAGGTTGTGCACACGATGTCTCGTAGCTGCGTACGTGGCTTTTGCAGAAAATCGTAAGGGACCAGCCACGGCTTGTACTGCTCTCATGGTGAAAGAGAAGGAACACGCTGATTGTGTATATTCGTATATGTAGGGTGGGCAGTCTGTGGAGGCAGTGATAATGAGACATGATGCTGGAGCAGGAAAATACGCTGGTGGACCTCGTCAAGGTGGCTCTCGGGCCACTTTGTGTGTTTCATCTCAGGTCAGATTTTTGTAGGCACCTTACTATTTCTATATCATAGGCTGGTGTTATCCTTCTCTGTCCCTTTCTCTCGAGGCTGATTGCAGCATCCTTGCATAGACTATTAAAGAATGGTCGAGTCAAAAGCGTATTTCTCACTCGTTGGCATAGATAGTGAGATGTGTTCCTTCACATGCAAAATCATCCTTTAAATATATATATTTTCATTTTTTTTTCTGTGTGTTCTACTGAAGGTGGGGTGCCAAATGGGTTGCACATTTTGCGCCACAGGCACTATGGGCCTGAAAGGTAATCTGTCTGCTGGCGAGATTGTAGAACAACTCGTTCATGCTTCTCAAGTTACTCCCATCCGTAATATTGTATTCATGGTACGACACCCATCTTTAACTCGCAGACGAATGACCCTTGTTAGATGATATGCGTATCTCAAAATATGTGGAGGATTTTATTTAGTTCTGTGAAATTGTTTCTGTGGTTGTTAAATCTGGAAGTTAATGTTCGAAACAGGGCTAAATGCGTGTTTGTGACTGGTTTGGTGTATTGTGTTAGGGCATGGGAGAACCTTTGAACAACTATAAATCAGTTGTTGAAGGAATACAAATAATGACTGGACGCTGCTTCGGTTTGTCACCATCTCACATTACCGTCTCTACTGTACGCAGTCCGTTGCTCGTGTCAAACCCTCAATTATTTTCTTGTGTATCACTATGGTGGTACTTAGTCCGTGATGCTATCCTTGTGCCAGAACTGTTGCTTCTTAGTTGTGGGTAACTGGAGACTGGGTGGATCTTAACTACAAGTTTGAACTGTTGCTGTTTTCTTTTGTATTTATTCTGTAGTTCTGGCATCGTTGTTGTCTCTGATGACCATGTTACAATATTTTCTGATTTCGCCTCAGGTCGGAGTGATTCCACGTATTTTGTCAATAGCCAATGACTTACCAGGCGTAAATTTAGCACTTTCACTCCATGCACCAACGCAAGAACTGCGATGCCAAATTGTACCTACTGCGAAAGCTTATCCTTTGCATAAACTAATGGCTGCTCTGAATTCTTACCAAACGATCAGGTCTCACCTTCTAGCCTGGACAGTCCTCTTGGTAGACATACTATGACATCTGTTAATGCAGAATAACATTGTGCAAATTTTATCGTACTTTTTTCTATTTGCAAGTTCTAGTTTCGGTATCTGAATGGAAGTTGCTTCACGCCAGCAGTACAATATTGTTGACTTCTGTGTTTAATGCAGTCGACGGCGTGTGTTAGTGGAGTATGTAATGCTTGCTGGTATCAACGATTCTGATGAAGTGGCCCACCAACTCGGAACTCTTTTGAAGGATCATAATGTGGTAAGGGTTGTCGAAGTCCTTATGGCTTTCTGGATTGGTGCCTGCTGTAAGCTGTTTTTACCGTGAAGAGTTTGTCGAGCTTTTTAAAGTACATAACATTACAATCTGTTTGATTAAATTATTACGTCTATCTTTTAAACTTTATTTGAATTTGGCTTGTGCGTCAATTTTTGTTTTGGTCTTTCCTGCGTGTCTTCAATGTTCATTTCCTAAGATTGAGGTTGGTTTTTCTTTCAGACCCTTAATTTAATTCCATACAATCCGGCTACATCATCCGACTATAAGCCCACTTCGCAAGAAGATCTAACACGTTTTCAGAAGATCTTGAGAGGAGTACATGGCGTAAGGACCACCATTCGGCAAGAAATGGGACAAGACATTGCAGGCGCCTGTGGCCAGCTTGTGATATCGCAGTCAGTAAAACAATCACCCAAACTAACCGATATAGAGGATATGTGTTCATCATGACACGGAGGTCAAAACGACTCTCGTTTGTGTCACGTGTTCCATGTCGGGGATCATCCAGGTTGCAGCACCGGATCAAATGGCGGCGACCTAGTGTAGTCCTGTCTCCTTGTCCGATTTCTCAACCTCATTGGTTTTCTATTGTTCAGTTTCTAGTAACAAGCAGTCACTGCGAAGAAAGAATCTGGTTGGAATTGCTGTGGTAAGGTTGATCAGTTTGGAACAGGTTGTTTTTTTTTAATCTCTCAACAATCCAAAATTTCATAATGGTCAATCTCTAGCAGAATGGTTAGTGATTTGTCTTGCATTGGTTGCATGTCCAGGTCAAGCATTAGAAACTGCCTCCTATATCTCGGCCTATATCTCGGCCTTGCCATGAATAATGTGGAGTGCTTGTAATCTTGTCAAGTCCAATGAAGACATTTTTATTGGTGCTAGTGAGTTGGCTGATTGACTTAAGCTTGTAAATTTGAATGTTGGTAGTGTTAGACTTCGTGTTTGAATGTTGCTATTAGTGATGTTAAACCCACTGTCAATAAAATATAATTGCTATTTCTATCAAAATAATGGTTAACCATTTTCTGATTTTCTGTTTGTTTGTTTGTTTGTTTTGTTTTGTTTTTTGTCATGTCCCTTTTGTCACTTCTTTTTCGTGATTTGTCTCCAATTTCCTTTCAATAAAAAGTAGTTTTCTTTTTCTTGTTTCTACCTTGGTAACTAACTTCTTATTCTCAACTTCTCTACAATATGTCATGTTTATGTAAAGTGACCCAACACACTAATTTTGCCCACTCTTCCTTCAAGCTCTTCTATTACAATCCTTTGTAAGTATTTTGTTTTCAATCCTTCTTTTTCACTTGTGAATTTAGCACATCATTTAGTACAAAATTGAAGGATTGGTGAGAGAGAGTGAATCCTTATGCAACTTGGGAGCAAAAGAAAATAAAAATATGTGGGCCAATTTTTTATTTATTTGTTTATTAATAGGTAGTTATATTTAAGGTTATAAAATTAATTACTTTCTATATTTTTATGTAAGAATATATATATATATATATATATATCTATAGGTACACATTTTATTTACATATTTTATTTTAATATCCCTAAATTTTCAAATTTTCTAATATTTGTAGAAAATTCCAACTATTATGGCATCTCTTACCAAATTTTAAAATTTTTAAAATTAAATTAAACCTTTATTATCTAAAAATAGATGTTGCATTCAAAATATTAAATTAAATGTGTATTATAACAAAATATAGTTATTTAGAATTATACATGATATTGAAATTGATCCCAAATTAAATAATTGTACATCTGATATTATAAGTTTTAAAATGTTGAAGTCCATACAAAATACTTCTATTTTATGAATTTAAAGAATTTATGTTATTTTAAAACTTAATATATCCAAAAGGATGTGGAATCAAATTAATGAATTTATGAGCAATTTAAAAAAACTTTGTTGTAAAGAAGAGTCTCTTTAAATTACACCAAATCCATAGCCATAACATGAACACTTTTGAAAACAAATAGAATTAACAAAACCAAAATATAAAATATTCTTTAATTAAAGAATCTCACTTATAAAAAATATAATAATCACATAAAATCTAAAAATTTTACATACAAAATTCTTCTTAATTATTATGACTATATTGTTAATTTAATTACACCCACACTATGAGTGTTTTTTTCTCCCTTCACTTTAGGATTTCTTAGGAATTATTTTAAGATTTATTGTGGATTTCTTTTGAATTTCTTTAAGATTTATTATTATTATTATTATTTTTTAAAATTTCTTTAAAGTTTCTTTTGAATTTGATTAAAGCTTGCTTAGCATTGTTAAAGTTTAATTAGAATTTATTTAATATTATATAAAAGCTAGGATTTTGTTGTTGCAATTTCCATTCTACCTTCTACAACCAATTGCCCAGTGCATTCTTGAGCAAGACTTCATGTAATACAAGAAGAATGCAGTTTGAAAATATCTAGGTTTTAGTATAAGAAGATATTAAAAGTTGGCACTTTGGAATTCAATAGGATTTCTATGATATCTCAAGATCTATGAGTTGGATCAAGGTAAAATTTGGCATGTTTGTAGAAAACTTTAAGATCAAGCTATATATCGATTTTGAATTGAAGTTAATAGTTAAAGAAGGAAAAATCGCTACTAGAACATTTGCATCAACTTTCAAGTTGGTAACCAAGTGACATTAGTGCGGTTTTTGGTCTTTTTCTTCACTATATATAAATTGGATAGCATTGAATTTTTCTGAGCATGTAAAAGACTTATAGTGGCATTTGTATACCAAAATTTGCACCAAGTGGATGGTCAAATTAGGAGTTATAGCTTATTGAAACTCATTGACTAGCGTTAGGGCTTACAAAGAAAAATCAAAATTGCCTAATTATGAAAGTAATAAGGCAATTGGAATTTGTGCATAATTGAGGTTATTAAGAAGAATATTTTTGAGCACTTTGTATTGGCTTTAAGCACTTTTGAATTAAAATTAAAATTACTTTGTATTTAGATAGCTAAAACCTATTAGGATTTCTTGGATATTTGTAAAATATAACTTTATCTTTCATAACCAGGTGCCCAATATATTTCCAAATAAGACAAGACTTATTACAACAACATATTGGTAGCTTGTGAAATAAGCTAATTATATAGCATACATATAGAAAACTTACCTTACAAATTAAGGCATGTGTGTTGTAAAGTCAATGCATGTTGAAGGCTTTTTAGAATATTATCTTATAACTCATAGTTAGATAATGTATATGGAGATAAAAAAAAAGCCTTGTTCACTCTTATTAATACCTTTCTAGTCGTCTTGAATTTGGCAATAGCTATTCTAATTTAATATATTATCAACTTTGAGTGATTTTCTAGTCTTTTTGAGCGATATAAGAGTGTATTAAGTTTTTTTTTTTTTAAGATTCATGTCCTTAATATATATATGTATGTGACATTACTATCCTTCTATAAATAAATTTAACTAGGAGTAATAATTATATATTATAAAATTTTAAGACATATCAAATTATATTTGTCATATATATATATATATATATATATATATATATATATATATATATATATTTTAAAGTAATTGATAGGTCTTGATAGGTCTTCATAGTATGCCATATTAGGGCAAGAAGACCATCCTAAAAATTGATCATTAATAAAGCCTTTGTAACTCTCTTCAAATGAAATATTTATACTATCATTGGAGATGATTCTTATCTCTAATAGTATCACCAAATATTGGAAGATTCTTCCAAGGTTGTAATATCAACTACATTATATTTTTCTATCTCTTTAAAAAAGAATATGCTATTTTTGAGGATCTTCATCTATATAATGTTGTCTTGAAGATAGTAACAATTATAACATCTCATTTAAAAATTCAATAAATGATAGCTCTTCAATTGAATGTATTGATTATTTATTCTCCATCTCTATAGTACTAGAAATATGTAGAAACTACAAACAAAGATAGAAGAAAAAATGTAATTTTTTTGAACTTTATTTTTTTATAAAAAAGATTTGATATTTTTTATCCTAATATTGGTGGATGTTATCAATAAAAAGCATCAATCTTCATAGTTAGATTAGTAAGATTCTTCAATGGCTTCTATGTGTATTTATTAATATCATATCTAAATCAATGAAGAAGATATTTCAACCTATTTTGGCTCAACTTTGAATCAAAGACTTCTTTGACGTCAAACACCTAATTATTATTTATTTCTATAAAAATAGATAATATTTATCTTTTTTTTGATGTATCTATTATTTAATATAATTCAAAAATAGACTTATAGAATATAAAATAAATCTTTATAGATTTTAATAAGTATAATCAATAAGAAATTCAATTCATGTATTCACAAATAGAAAATGATCTGTAATAATTCAACTTATCAAAAAGATAAAAAGTCTTAATATTACAATAAAGTAATTATATCTCATTATCAATGTAGAATTAAAGCTGTTCCTTGTAATTGGCATTTGTGTTGATTTTTTGTCATTCTTAAGCATTTTTTAGTTGTGTCTTTATTTTTACATGTAGCTCTAATAAATAAAATTTTAAATTTTTTATTGTAGGATTATCAACTTTTAAAAAATTAAAAGTATCAAATTATAGATGATAACTATAATTAATAAAAAAAATTCATTAGATAGATGAATGTTTTATATTATTATAAATAAATTTTACTAATGGCAAAAGAATTGTCTTATCATCTTGCTAATAGTTGATAGTACACCTCAAATATTGCTCCAAAACTTGATTTAGCTATTTTATTTACTTATTAGTTTGAAGATAGTAGGTGATAGATAGTTTTATATCTACTTTTATAATCTTAAAAAGATTTTTCTAAAATCTTAATATAATTGAGTACCTTTATCTAATATAATATTCGTTAGTAATTTGTAATAACACTTAATATTATTTAAGAAAAACTTAGGTGTTTCTTTACATACAATAAATTTTATATATGATTTAAAATATGCCATTTAAATAGAACAAACTAATATCATAAATAAAATCATAAGAATCTAAGACCAGAAGATCTATAATAAAATCTATAGAAATAAAAGATTATGGTTGTTTTGAAATATATAATAGCTGAAGAAGATCATAAGATCAATGATGAAGAGTTTTTGATTTTGAACAAACATTACATGATTGTACAAAGTCTTTAACTGCCTTGTACATTTGACTTGACAAAAAATCTCTAGCTATTAGCTCCAAAGTCTTGTTGTATCCAAAATGTCCTCCAATTTAGATGTTATGACAAGCTAAAAGAACATGTAATTATACTTCATCTTTTGAAATATATAATTATTTCTTAAAATAGAATAGATTATTCTTAAATTCAAACTTAAACGTATCATGAGACTTAGAAAAATTATTCTTAATATTATAATCACAAAAATTAAAGATTATATTTAATTAAAATTTCTCAAGAAATGTTTAATCAAAAACCAATGTTGATTTAATTGTTCAAAGATAAAAATGCTTTAGCTTCAAGAAAGTTATTATTTATTAATTAAAAATTTTATTTTTTTGATATAAGATAAAAATATCTAGAATGGGCATCTAACAAATCTTGTTATTTTTATAGTTGATATTTGATCTTCAAATCAATTCTTAATAAAGATGTGTTGTAGTTGACTTAGCAAAGATTCAAAATATGTATTAATATGAAATACTTGAGGTTCTTATGATTTATATACATAGTGATTTGTTTAGAAGCGCCTTCTAGAAAATAATGCAATTCTTGAAATAAATCCACAATTATAAGTTCTTTATTTTAGATCTTATAATTAATATTATTTAATAAAAATATTTTAGAATAAAAAGCTATTAGATGGAGATTTTTATTTGTTCTTATTCGTAATAATATAGTGTCTAAAGCA